CCCCACCGTTTTCTCCCCTATTGTGCAGCTATCTTGCACTTTATTCATCCTTTTTTTCAGGTCATTTGAAATCAGATTAGGGATAAATACACTGCATTTATATCTGCAGAAGAACAAAGTTCCTTAAGGTTAATAATAACTACAATAATTATTAGATATTACTGATGTTATTTATTGACATTAAAAAAAAGAGAAAAAGAATGCCACGTTTTGTACAAATCCTGAATCGAGCAAGTGATATTATGACACTAGATCCAGAATCACAGGGCAGTTGTACAGGTCTTTTGCTGGGGATTGCATACATGCCTATTTGCTGGGGCTACTCTCACATTTACCTTGTCAAAACCACAGTCCTTCCCCTTCCCTCCTTCAGAGACATGGAATGATGCTGGAATATGGAAATACAGGAGGGCATTGTATGAAGGGGAGTGGTGCCCTAGCACCAGCATCACCCCACGGGTGAGAACGATTCCAGCTCCAGGGGGGATCCAAACCCTGGCTTCCATCGTCCAGCCCTGTGGACCCCAGGGCAGCAGCAGGGACAGTCACCCTTTGCCTCCCTGTGCCAGAGCAGGCAGCTGGCCGTGGCCCCAGTGAAGGTCTGGAATACTCTGGAAATTTCTGGAAGGGCAGGAGCACTGTTTAACAGCAGGCCCTTCCCCACGGTGCGCACCAGCACCAAGGAGGAAGTGGACCTGGCTTGCAGGCGGGGGGAAATCCTTGCCACAGGTGGGCTTTTCCCATTTCTCTGTGGTTCCCCCCAGGTTCTGTGAAAGCAGATGGCCAGGTAAAGAGTATTTTAACATATCGGCTCCGGTCAGGGTGCCCGGAAGCAAGGTTTCTGCTAGGGAATAAAACGGGAACGGCAGCAGCACGTGGGTTGCACAATATAAAGCAGGGGCTTTGCAAGGGCTGTGCAGGAAGCCCGTGCTGGGGTTGTTAACGAATAACGGGGAGTGTTAATAAGTAACATTGAGGGCTGGCAGTGCCCCAGCGCCACGGTGAGGGGCTGGAGCACCGGGTGCTGGTCCTGGCTCTGCAGTGGGCATTGGGGGGTTCCTGCATCCTGCATCTCCGTTTCACTGTCTATGAAATAGGGACAAGCAACATGCAGAGCTTTGAGCTCAGCCTTGTGGAAGCGCTTGAGGTTTGCCCCTCTGGAGCTCAGCGCATGGCAGAGCTCTCCAGGTCTAGGTTTCACCAGAAGCTGGGAAGTTGTTACAGGTTCATGTAAGAAAGCAGTAAATTTCATGTTATATTTTGCTGTTTCTAAACACCCGCATACTGTTAGGAAAGGCTTGAAATATGTCCCTCGACCCGAGCATCCTTAGACTGCCAGGCTGTTTGCAACCTAAGGCAGGCTCAGGGTGCACACGTTTGAGAGAAACCTTTAAAGCAGTTTAAACCTCAGCCTTGTGGACTGTTGGAGATCCCCCCCTTAACTGTTCTGTAGCTATCTTAAACACACCAGCAGCTATAGCCAGGCATGAGGGGCAGGTAAGTCTCCAGCCACTCTTCAGCCCAGGGCAGGCAGGCGTGCAGTCCCGGGGATGGGTGTGTTGACAGAACCTTGTGTCCATTACAGAAATTGTCAAAATAATACGAAAAAACCAATTTAAAGTGCCTCCACTTCAGAGAAATCTGGGCTCGGGGTTTTGACTGGAACATCGTCTCTTCCTCTAAAAGCCCTCACCAAATTATTAAGCTGATAAGCGATTCCCTTTGGTTTTACATGTGCTGGCATGAATTATCCTTAAGTGCTGCATATTAGGGTTGTTTTGTACTAAAAGGTGTTAAACACTTGTAATAAATATTTTTCCTTATTTCCCCTAGGACACAGTTCCATCTCTGGTTGGTGAAGCATAAAAAAGAGCTGTCATGCCCAGTTTTAATAGGCAATAGGATTTCAAGCCCCCAGAGTTGTTTCACAGTCTGGCAGTGGCCATAATGAAACTGGCCACTGTTGCCACAAGACTTTTTCCTCTTATGTGTTCTCCCCTGTTACCTCCCACAGCTGCTTGACTGGCAGGTCTCTTGCAAACTGCAAACATATTTACATTGGAGCCAGTAGTATTTCTTTAGCTAGCTCTCTGTGCCATATTCCTCCCTTTTCCCCCCCTCCTTTTCTTTTGCCTAGCTAGAGACTCAACCTTAAGTTGAATTTTAAAGAATAAAATGAAACTGTGCATGCAATTAACTGCCTTTGAGCGTGAACAGCAGTTCATTTTCATGCTTTTTGTTGTGAAGCAAATAGCTTGTTTGTTTGTTTGTTTGTTTGTTCACACTGATTCCCAAATAAATGGGAAAGTACCACAATTCACTTGCCTAGGATTTATTCATGAAAACGCAATCACAGCCTCCCAAACACTGGGCGGAGAGAGGTGGGGGGGCCCTTTCCCTGCACCAGAGTCAGTGTCTCACTCCGCTCTGCAGGTCTGGAAAGAGCCAGGCTAATCCAAGCCAGCAAGAATTCATTGGAGTATCGAAAAGAAAATGAATATGTAAATAAAAGATACCTCTTTGAGGCACAGGTAGGTTAGTGATACTCATAAGCTGTATGCAAGAATTAGCATTGTAGCTTGAGCAAAGATTTCATTTATTTTGCGTTATTGTGGTCTTAACCAATTTTAAATCAGATTAGTCTGCCTGGGAAATCACTGTAACCCACTGCAGAGAGTAATGAACTTCTTTGCTGTTATTTCCTAAACACCGTCAGTGGTACAGTGCAACTCACCCGTCAGTCCCCTTTCCCTCCTAACAAAGAGGGAAGACTGGATCAGAAGGGATCATCTCCATAGAAATTGTGTTGGCACAACCTAGGCTGGGCATAAATAAGGGTACAGACTAAGAAAATGAGAGTGATTAACCCTTTCAGGCTCTCACATCACAAAATGCAGTCTTCTACATTTGGCTTCTCAGTAATGCGATGTGTATAAAAACCCCAATTCCTAGTGATGGTCTTAGTGACATAAAATTGCTCTATTTGCCTTGGTCAGGGACTATTCATGTCTTCCTTATGGTTTTTAAGCTAGAACGTAGTATCTTCCTTGTAAAAATTCCAGGTATTAGGGGAACTGAGGATTTCCAAGCACAGATGGCCAGATCGGCAGAATTTGGATCATTTCAGGGTGCTTGAAGCCTGGGAAAGTTGATTTGGCCCTCTGCAATGACAGGGACTACTTGCCAAGTTCCAGTCTAGCTCTGAACTCCTGCAGTATTCTGAGATGCCAATAGCTAGGATTTCTTATTTAGAGATCTGTGTGCTTTCCACGGCAGGGTACAATGGCAAATAGTGTCTTGTATTTCATAGAACTAGTGTATCTGAGAGAAGAACTGATCAGGGGACAGAGCCAGACAGCAACCACCCATGCAGCCTGCATCCTTTGGTCCATTAACTGGACACCTGAGGATGATCTCCTCCTCCTCCATCTAGTTAAGTCTTGATAGCTAACACAAACCCAAGCCCTTCCGTGTGATTTGTAGCTGCTTTTGTAAGCCTTTGCTAGGCTGTGCTTAACCAGCTGCCTGGGTTTAGTCTCCTTACTCTCTCTTTGGCTTCCCTCTGACAAGGAAAGCGTTTTCACAGTTTCCCAGCAGTTTCCTCCTGGGATGCGTGTGCTTGCTCTGAAACAGGGTTGGCAGAGGATCTCCTCAAGGCTGGAGGCTTTCTGGAGTGGATGAGCCAGGGACCTTGACACACTCCTCATTCCAGACACTGCAGTCTGCCCTGCTCACCATGCCATGGTCGTCACAACCTCCTGAATACACAGACAATTAGTAAGTGCTGTGGGGCAGACAGTTCCTTAAGAAATTGTCTGAATGTCAGGTATTTTGACCAGAAAATGCTTCTAGTATGTTGGTGTGGTGATGTGGATAGATGTGAAGTAGGAGAGGCAATTTGTTTGCAGTAAAACCAGAGATCTTACAACTAAATGACCATTAGTTACGCAGATTCAACTCCGTGACCTTCCATAGACCTCCTTTACACCTTGGTGTTGATGTGGCCCAACAAATGCAACCCCAGTCGCATAAAAAGACATGGAGTTTTAATTGCTGTTGCAGATATGAAGTATTTATTTGGTTGTTACAGGGTAGCTGAATCCAGCTCAGCTCTACCGTGTCTTGAGTCTGAATTGAGAAAGGTCCTGAAAACAAATGACCTCAGGTTAAAATATAATTTTAACATGTTTCTTCTTCAAAATCAGAAAATTCTTGCCTGATTTTGTGATCCAAATCAGCTCCCATCTTACTGCCATCTGCACCAATTCTAAGCCAAAAAGAGACCGTTCATGTCTGCAACGCAGACAATGATGTAAATCAAAGGTTCACTCAACCTCAAAATGTTAAGATGCATATGAAAAAGCAGAAATAGCAGAGGCCTAGAGAAAAACAGTGAGACTTGCATTTTGAGGAACTGTATAAGAACAGATTAGCCTATATAGAATGCTAGTGATTATATAGCTTGCAAAGGAAGTGATCCAAGGATGATTGTAATAAAACTAATAGGGAATGGTATCTGGACACTGCCTTCAACAGGAACAAACATGAGCCACATCAAAACAAGCATTATTCTACATTCACTGACTTGCAGAACTCCCCGCTGCAGGACACCAACATGGCAGGTATATCCAGGGCCTGATTAAACATCATAAATACAAGTCCTTTCTAGCTCAAGTTGGCTACGTTTAATTTAAAGGGCCTCAGACATTAACATGTCTCTTGCAGGGAGTTATTCCTTGTCTGATAGACTATTGCAAAATAACATTCATTATCTTAACCAGCTCTGGAGGTAGAACACCGGCTTAGATAAATCATTATATCCATTTTGCAAGAGGGCTGGCAATTTCATTAATAAATAATTCCAACTAAGGGGAAAAGGAAACCTTCAGAGGGCTCCAAGCATTAGGCACAGCCTGGCTGCAGCAGAGGATGAGGATGAGCAGTCCCCCTCTTGAGACGGGGCACCAGAATCTTCTGGAAATAAATCTAGACAATGGCAATGAGCTTGTAATTTATATTTTATTTTGCACAAGCTTGCATATATACTGCACATACATTCAGTTTAGAGAAGATGGAAGGCACACAAGGCAATTGAACTACTGTATCCTTTAAGTGGTACAAAGCAAAAAGGTAAAAGTCTGGAGAGTATACAAAAGCTTTAAACACACAAAATAAAATCCATCCCCCCCCAAACATTTTTCCTGTGTTTCTCTTAAATTTAGTAGCTGCCAAGCTAGAATTGTAACTTTTTATCAATCAATTGTCTACTGCACCTTTTGTTTCCCAAACAGACAGGGGAGTCTTATTGTTTTATCTTGTCATCAATTAATATTACAGTACATCCTTGGTAATACAAAATTGTACACCATCAAATAAATTAGGATAAATTAAACCAATAAATTATGCAAAGTCTTCAGAACAACAGACAACAACAAAAAAAAGAAAAAAAAAATCCACAGTTGAAATTGCCTCTAGCTAAAAAATAAAATTAAAAAGAAAAAAGAAAAATAAATCCAAAATTGACTTTCTCAGTTATTGAACTATCTTCAAATTAAAGGGTCTTTATTACAAAAAAAAGAGCTTAATAATGCTATTTACAACATATTGCTAAATAATATAAAGGCAGTGTTTTGTCACTTTTGTAACTATATACATATGAGTAATGGCTGGGACAATATCAGTTTAAACCTTAACCTTTGACTCTTCTGGGCAGCATTAAAAGCAACCTAAAGAGGCTTTTTTGTTTTTGCCTTCGTGTTTAACTTCTGACTCTTAGATGTTCTGTGGTCATGAGATGGTTCTTGTGGTTGTCTAATATCTCACTCGAGTGGTACAATTAATGCAGAAAGGAGGCATTTAAGAGAAAAAATGTAAGCTCGCTGTTTCTTCTAGATTTGTTTCTACATATCCCAGGATATTTGTGCATTTGGAAGGTGGCTGCTTCGGGAGAGAGGTGACTGGCTCAGATGAAAAGACTCCATGAAGTCAGAGTGCCACCACCTTTCATACACTAAAAAGGATATTCCTAAGAAGATACAAAGGTTAAATACCAGTTTTCATCCCAGCTCAAAATATGAGCATTTTTTAGCTTCCGTTTATAGATGGTTTACAACCAACAGTTCTACAGAAAACAAAATTGCATTTCCTTCAACAGAACATTTAAGTGCAATACAGTAACTGCTTACTCATATAAACCAGTTACATTCCTTAAGGGGAGCTTTTTGAAAACAATGCGTATTGGAATTTTCAAACACATAGTTGGTACCAGAAGGAAACATTTGCACTATTAACACCAATGACTGCTATATAATACACATGGCAAATATAGTTTTTGCTTTCACTTCTCATGTACAGTGCTCATTTTGGGGGTTTTGTAAACCACTTTCCATTTTTAATATATATATATATCTTTCTGTGTGTGTATATATATATATATATGTATAATCTTTCAATGCTGCTGGTGAAAATCCTATCTTTAAAGCCACAAAATCTTCACCTTTATTTCTTAATTAATATTAACCTGTGGAAAAAAAAAAACAACATTTTTTTTCTATTAACTGACTTCATATACATAGAAAAAGAAATCTGCAATTTTACAGAAACTGTATTACCCATTCCCTTGACATCTGATGAAAGAGACTTAACTCTTTCAAGTAGAGAGCTGGATTTTCAAGAATGCTTTCAACTATCTACACAGTTACTGTAGTGTTTCTTATAAATTCAACAGATGTTTTCAGAATGTAGTTATTAAAATCTTATGTCTTTATGCAAGAACAGCCGTTAAGGTTGAATATTTACATTGCTTTATAAAAGTTCCCCTCGATTTGCAATGTTCACCCACATACCTGGTACAGTAACAAAGATTCTGCAAACTTAAAAACACTTGAATTAAATAATACTCAGAGGCACAAAGCAAACCTCAGGAATACATGGGTGAACACTTCCTTAAATAATTACTACATTCTAACATCTTCCACGTGTTTACCATTAAATGTGAAACGTTCCCATTAAACAACCAGAGATACAGTAAGAATTCAATGTTTTCTAGTTGCAAATAGAACATTCTTTTCACAAAACATAACAAATGTCTAAAATAGGTTTAATTCTTAATCTAGATAGGAAAAAGGTAAGCTTTTCACTTCATACGCATATTTTGTGTGTGTTGCTGTGTATACATACATACATACATACATGCACCCGCACGTTCCGCCCGTGTGCGTGACCACATATGTATATGTATATGCACACATGTCACGTATGAAATATTGCTTCTATACTACTTCTCCTCAGGCTAAGAAAACACAAGATTTGCACCACAGTTACAAAAAATTGGCTTCTACAAGAATTTCCAAAACTCGAATGCTGCTCAAACGATTGAGAAAAAATAATTTGCGTTATCAAACTGTTCTAAAAATTCTCTGCTTCAAAAACGTATTCTCCTGCTTTGTTTTTGTGTTATTTTTTTCTCTTTTTTTTTTCTTTTTTTTTTGTGTTTTTTTTCTCTATTATTTGTGGGGTGGGTATTTTTGTTTTCTTTTCTTTTTTTTTTTTTTTTTTAATTCTTAAAAAGACACAAAATATGCATAGCTATCAACATCATGTCAAACAGCCGGAAAAAGAAAACCCAACCAAAATCAGTGTTTATTGCAGCTGTAGGAATTGACAAATAAAGTTTAAAAGATGAAAATTGTAAGCCACAGAAGGCACAAGAACAATTGTACTTGTGGGGGGAAAAACTGGTATTTTGAAGGATTTTGTTTTCTCCTTCCGCTGGTGCATTAAAGGTCTAGGCACAGACTATAACCTCAAGTTTATATGCAGAAATAAATCTGAATTAGCAGTAAATGAATGGCAACATGGGGTTTCTACAGGGGTTTTGCAATTCTTTCCCTGTGTAAACTTTTCATTACTATAAAAGTAGCCTCCTGCCTTTTAGCCATTTCGTATTGAGGTCGTCTGAAAGAGACTGGTTTCTACTTGCAATTTAGTAGGAGCTCTTCCATGTATTTCTAATTTTAGGTGTATTGGGAGGCACAAAGGCAATATGGCTATAAAATGCAGAAAAACCACGTAACTGAAATGATCGAATTCTCATTTATTCCTTTTTCAGACAAAGGAGGTTTTTATTTTGCTTTTACGATGAAATTTCTACTCTTAATTCCTATGCCTCATTTACTATTGAGATTATGCTACCCATAAATAAATAAATAAATGCAACAACATCAAGTGTTGAGTACACAATTTCACTTATTTAGATTATGTGAATCACATTGCAGCCAAATAATAATAATAATAATAATAACATCCACAATAATATTAATAATAATAATAATAAACATAATAAAAGCAATGGTAAAATCACATATTGAGATGGTAGCTAGTAGTATGTCCACATAGTATGACTAAAGTATGGCTTTGCTTTCTTATGTTCAAGGTGACAATGCAGTATCTGATGGGATGCCAATGATGAACTTACTGGGTTCAAACTTGAGCATTTATGCCACTTCTTCCCATAAATCAAAAAAGTGCATGAACACAATTTTCATCTTTTCTTACTCAGAATTCACTGGAGTTACATCTTTGTGAAGTGTAATGTTTACCAAATCATGCATTAAAAAAAAAGAAATTAAGAAAATGAAAGAAAATAAAACAGAAGAAAAGGAAGAAAAAGACACATCCTGTCTATGAAGGATAAGTGCAGTATTAGGTACTCTCAGGGAGTCTAAGATCAAGAAGATTTGTTTTGCTTTTAATGCATAGTGAAAATGTTGGCACTTCATCCCATGCTATTGTCTGCATTGCCTATACTCCACAGATACTGCCAGTGCTTGAAAAGAATGACAGGGAATCGTAGGCTTGTGCTGTTTAATTTGAAGTCAGCAGGTTTGTAAGGCTTTATGCTAACAATAATTGCTTTCATACTTTTCTGTCTATCAGCAGTATTTGTAAATGAAGTGGAATTGCAATGATCAGGTCAGCTCTTCAGTCACGTGGGTAAACTTTCACTCTCCAAAATCAAAATGTAATCTGAAAATAAAGAAATAAGATCCCAATATCCTCAATGGTCTAAATATAATTCGCAGCTAATTAGGAACTTCCTCAAGATTCAGATTGAATTATGTAGGGGAAAAGACTGTTGATGATAACAATAAATTCTTACTGCATCCATACAAAAGATGACAGAGAAAAGGACAAACACAGAGTGCCACAGCATACTGAACCTTCCCCCAAACTTGTGGAGCCAGTGTCTTTCTGAAAACACGAGAAAAGGAGAGCCACTGATGAAAGCACGAGAACTAGCGGCTCGCTTGCTGTCTGCCTGCTGATACAGCATTCAGGCAAACCCAGGTTCACTGTGGACTTTACACTCAGATTTTGGCCAAGACTAGCTCCAGCTTCAGGAGACAAGTGCAGCCCATTGCTAAAACAGATCTCTTATGTTTTACATCTGCACTTACTGTCATTTTAACCCCCCAATGTAGCTATCGGAACCCCGCAGGGACAGGAGGACTCTGCCAATTTTGCATATGATTGATTAAGTTTTTATGAAAATGCAGTTCTTATTCCTCTGATAAGGAAGAGACTGATTCTTTTTTACAGCTACAAACAAGTCTTTTGTCCCTTTTCCTCAGGGCTGTGAGGTGAAGATGCTTTTATTCTACTAGATCTAAGATCATTCCAAAAAAGTGCTTTTCAGGACAGATGTTAAACAACAGACAAAAACTTTGCATATTGGAAAGGGGATTTGGGGGGGCAGAATGGACTAAGAAAATAATACATTTAGGGACTGATGCCACTTCAAGACAGAGACATGGCAATATAGGACTCTGAAGGTTTCATTTTTAGTCTATGGAGAGTGAAATGCTTCCACTTTAATAAGCTGACCATATTCCAGGATTAGTGGGGTTGGTATAAAATTGTGCATGAATTACTGGCCTCACCCTGCAAGATTTGATTTGTGCAAACATCCCTTGCTGCAACTTAGAACAACAACCTGGCGTGTTGCTTAGTGGTGCAGGATATCCATCATTTCTGTAAGGAAAGCATGAAGAATAGGGTTTGCTTTTGGGGTTATCACTTCTAGGAGTGAGTACCTGAAATGGATGTTGTATTTTTAGGGTTTGTTGTGGGTTTTTTTTTGAAGTACGAAACCAAATCTGGTTCTTGGTTAAAAAGTATATAAAATACAAAAAAAAAAAGGAAAGAAAGCTCCAAGCTTATGAAATGACTCCACAGAGTTCAGACCTTTAGCAGTATAAACGTAATATAAACTTCATTGTCTGTAGTATTGTGCCATGACATTAGTCTCACTAAGACAAAATGCCACTTTGCAGCAAGCAATAAATCTGACAAAGCATTTTTAAACATAATGCCCTAACTTGCTAAGACAGGCTTTTACACTCTTCCAAACTCTTCTCCCTGAAAATTAACCCCGTTGATTCTTCAAATGTTAAGGGTCTCGGGCAAAGTAAACCAAAGGCTGAAGTAAAATAACCATCCCCTCGGAACTGAAAACTTAAATCCATGAGGGATCACAGTCGAATTTCATATACATATATATATGTATGCAATACACATATATATGAAATTAAAATAGGGACACACATGACTTGGGCATCAGAAGGGGACTGCTACTTTCATACATTCATAAATAGCTGCTGAACTCTCTACTCATGAAGAAGCTCTTGTAGGCAGTTTGGGGATTTGAAAATCTCGGGGACCTCACTGTCCAGCTTACAGATGACCTTGTATATGGCCTTCTTCCAGGAAGGATCAACATCTTTGCCTGCGATAATGGCATTGAAAAACTCCCGTAATGTGATCTGAGCCACTTCCAGGAATCTCTCTGGAACCTGCTGATACAAGGAGACAATGGCATTAATACAGTTTTCAATTTCAAGTCTCTGGTTCTTCAAAGGAAACTGAGCTAAGTTCTTTCTTTCAGAAAGGGGCTTACATAGCACCTGCATTTTCTAAATGTGGCAGCCTTCTATTCTCTTATGCAAAGCTGTTATATATAGTACTATGGCAATAACTTTTATAACATGTGTTAGAGATCTTTGTAAAGTCTACTGACAGAATGTAGGTAACAAAATGGAACTCTCCGAGTATGGAGAGCAGGGGATTTATGGGATAGGATTGGCAGGAGGGGAAACAAACACAATTGTCTTTAAGGAGAGGAAGGTCGACTTGCTATTTTACCCGTGCATTTACAGCTATGTTCTCCTCTCCATGTGGGATCTAATCTGAGATATATGCATGCATAGAAAGGCCTCTGTAGCTCTACATTTAACTTCAGCCACAACCAGTGCTGAAGGCTATCAGAAAAACAGGGTATCTCTGAATGTTGTTCATAGTTTAAAAACAAGCAGGCCTTCAGCTTGCTTCTGTAGCTGCTGTGCACCCGACCCACATAAAATGGCTTTCTCAGGAGACATCATGGTCTTCTCTTCTTTTTCAGAAACCTACAAATAAAACCCCAAGCTCTTCAAAGGGTGCACTTTGCTCCAAGTTGCTACTGAGCTGGGATGTGTTCGACTCTTCTGGGTTCTCTAAATCATAGAATCATAGAATAGTTAGGGTTGGAAAGGACCTTAAGATCATCTAGTTCCAACCCCCCTGCCATGGGCAGGGACACCTCACACTAAAACCATATCACCCAAGGCACACTGTCAAGCCCCCAAACAATGGGTGGATGTTAAAGACAACAAACAGTTACCTCCAAACTTTGGCACCAGCACCACCTTCTTACCCTCTCCCTTAACTGATTCAAAAGCAATCACTACAGTGAACCTGGGTCAGTTCCAAGGTTGAAGTCATCTCCATGAAGGTATTATTCTCCACTTTTATTACAGAAATATGGTTTCACAGCTCTAGAACTGCTAATACACGGCTGGCCAGTAGCCAGCATGCTCAGAATAGCAATTATCCCCTCACTGCCATTATTTGCCCACTCCGGTAAGAGGAGTTCTCCAACCTGCAGCAGAGGCCACTTCAACCATTCCTGTGGCCAACAGATACCCGGACAGATCTCATTTAATGAATTCATGTCACATTACCAGATCAGGGCTAGCATCATATTGTCTACTTCAGGCTTTTATTCTTCTTCCTTTAGAAGCCCCTTTCATCAAATTTGTCTGAAAGTATGCATGTTTAACCTGAGCGAGCTCTGCAGCCTCACTCCCCTATCACCGCTGGGGCAACACTAGCAGTTTGTTAGCTATGTTTTGCCATCAGATAAGCATGAGATCAGCTCCTGCTGACACCAGCTGATGAACTCTGCTTCCAGAAGCCCCGCAGCCCACAGAGGTCCTCCGTCTACCTATGAGAGTAAAATCCAGCCCCACACATTTTAGTCTGCTCCCAAAGGCTGCCTCCTGTGGAAATTTTTCATTCAACATAGAAAGAAACATTTTTACAGGTGTTCTGTTCCAGTAGTAATGATGAGGCAGAAAATAACTGTTACATTTCACTTATTCCACCTCAAAGAAATAACCTAAAACTTCACGTAAGTGCTCTGCTGTTTGGGCACTTGGTAATACATCTACCAAAGATGCCATGCTAGTCTCGTTCCTGTGCTGCTAGAAAAAAAGCATAACACTTCTCTGTTCATGCAGTTTAAACAGCTGCTCAGGTGCTGTTCATTGTCCTTGGTGTCACTGGGTGCTAACCAAGGGGAAGGAGTTGCTGACCACATGATACTAGAAAGCAAGAAATGTAGCAGATAACCAACTTTTTGGTGTACACAGTGGCTCACGAGGGCAAAATCTGTTGGTGTTTTTGCATCTGTGCTTGGGAAAAGAGTTTGCACCTCTCAATTTTGATGTCCACTCAGAGGACCCGTATTAAATGCTCTTCTTCCCTTCCAAGTTGTTGGAGATGGGAGGGAGGCAATTACAAGCACCTATATGAGAAGCATAAAGTCCAAATGCAAAAAGTTCTACCTCTCCCCACACATCAACTTTTAAGCATGGAAGTGACATCCTGGGTTTTAAGTTGAGCCTTTGCCAGTCAATTTCTACCTGCGAATATTAAAGTTTCCTAGGTAGGGAATGCTGCTTTTCCATGAAGCAGGCAGCATGAAACCCTTGAGCTTTCTAGCCTCCTGCACCCATAATGACACACAGGTTTTTTTTTTACACTAGGAGTTAACTTTTAGGTCCAACTTTGTTGTACCTGGGTCACATCTAAAGATCTGTCTTTTGAACCCAGCACAGAGCATCCCACAGCATAATAGTGCAGAGGCTTTGAAGAGCCCCAGAATTTCAGTTTCTTCTTTTGGATGCTCCACCTCGTAATGGAAGAGTTCCCAAGGAGCTCCCCTACTCCTCAGGCATCAGAGCTGTTCACAGCTCTTTCCTTCTGGGATGTTATTAGCCATTTTTCATGTCAGACTGGATTACACACACTACTTTGCATGTTGTAATGTGAATAGCACTGTGATTAATCCCCACTGGATAGTACGTCGGCCAACATTTTTCCTTTCTAGAAAGAGTAACGGCAGTGTTTGTTTGGGGTTTGGTTTTTAATGTCTTTTTGGTTTTTATCAATTCTAGTGAAGTCCAGAGTCTGAAAATAAAGAAATATTTAAATGGATGGGGAGTTATAAATTTCAGTGGGCAATTAATCAGTCATCCATGTTAATGATGTGTCTGGGGGTGGCATTTCCCTGACCCTAAGTGATGGCGACCTATTCAGCACATCTTTACACCTAACTGACTGAACATCTCTGAAGTAGGAACATCTGCAGAAAATGCTTCAGTGACAAATAAACTCCATCTACGTTGCTTTTAATAGAACCAACAATCCCTAGTATGAACCCAGGGCATTTTCTTAGCATCAGGTGGCAGCAGTCAATCAAAGAATCACACTGTATATTCACCAGGAGGAAAGACAATGAGGTCTGCTCAGGGGGAGGCGAGGTGGGCTTCAGGCTGAAGCCTCCACATCAGATTGATTTAGAAAGAAATCACAGTTTGCTGCATGCTTTGTCAATGGAACTTAGCTTTGCTGCCAAGGAAAAAGTCACAGGCCATACTTTGGGCTAGTGTAAATCAGCGAGGCTCTGTCAGCCCCAGTGCGGTTATGCTGGTTTACACCTGGTATGCACTGGTCCTGCACCTCCTAACACAGTCCAGCAATGATCACAGTGCCCCTTCTCAGGCGCTAGCCATGCCAACACATCCCCTTCATCTATGAAAACAGGGAGGGAATGAAAGCTCTCATCTGCTTCTGTCTATTTATGCTGGTTTAACTACTAGCATTTTCCTTAGCGTGACCACAAACCTGAACTATTTCACTCCTGGGTTTGCGTGTGCAACTCCCCTGCTGAACCATGTGGATTAGCACTGTGGGGGAGTGCTTTGTTAAAAGTACTCAACGCTAAATATTTCTATGTGAGTAAACGTATACAGTTCCAATGGCTCAAAAGTTGGAGCCAAGTCAGACCTCGCTCTTCTCTCATGCAGAAGCATACACAGCTTCAGAAAGCGATATGCTTTAAAAGTACTTGTTGAATTTCTGGTCAAGGAAAACATGACTGAAAAGGCAGCAGTGACTGGGAAGGTGAGGGCAGATCCTCAGCTGGTCTGGGTCAGTGTCGCTTGACAAAAATCAGTGAAGCAACACTGATTTTAAGCCGACAAAAAGGATTAGGCTTCCCTTTCTGATGGCCTGCAAGGACTTGAAAAATCCTTGTTGGGAAGGAGGGCACACTAGAAGTACCCATGTGTCTCAAGTTGGGAGTCAATCAGTGGCCCTTCATTGTTTTCCTCATTATTGTGTAGCATCTTTTATTAGTTAATTCTTTTTCTTTTGGAGGGGGGAAAGGGAGGGAGGATTGTGCAGCAAAGACTTTTTCTCCCTTCCCTCCCATTCCCCATATCTCCTCCCCTCCCCAAGCCCTCCTCCTTCTCTTCCCAGTTGCTTTACCTTCAAGGATGATTTGTTTTATTAAACTGACTGTCCCCAGCCTCTGCAGTACATAATAAAAGCCTGACATAGCAGCCTGCCTGCCTTCTGTGTCCTGCAGATACTCATCATAAGTGTCAGGACATACCAAGGTTAGCGGTCACTGGAAGTGCGCTCGCTGGCTCAAGCCTTGCCAAACATGCTTGGCAGCTGAATGAATGTCACAGAGAATAGAAGGGGAATTACAAAGGTTAGAAGACAGCCTCTCTCTCTCTCTCTTTCTCTTTTTTTTTTCTGGAGATATATAAGCTGATTTTTCACACTTCTGAAATAAACATCAGCTCATTCACAGTCCCTTTCCAGCACCTAAATCTCTCCCATTGTCAAGCAACCCTTTAATTTCTACCCAAGCCTTATTTCTTCATTAGCAAAATAAGATGCTTAATTCTTTCTTAATGGAAAAGGGGAAAAACCACCAAAACCAAATGACAAAACGAGTCACCGGTCTGCTCAAAGGTTTATGTGTGTATTTCATGTCGCTAATCCTGTTAAGGGTGGGCTTCTTTACAGTCAATCTTTTAAACTTTCAGTAATTCAAACTCAAGTGGTAAATCTAGATGATAGAAAAAGCAATACAGATGTAAAGAGCACAGAATTGTGAAAGTCAAGTTAAAACCGATATTCCGAAGAATTGTGTTTTGTTTTTTTTACTATAAAAGGGCAATAAAATGCTGACTGTAAGAAGACAATGTCAAGGAGAAAAGGGTATTGGTATTTTGGATACTCTTGACTGCTCGCCTTGGAGAGAGAGTTATTCTTGTCACAAACCCTTTTGTCTGCATCTGCTGACTGCTTGCCTGTAGCCAGCAGCATACTTTAACTGTTTTGTCACCTCCTAACATCACATGCATCAGCTGTTGTGCTTTTGTTACGGGTATTGTAG